AATGTATCTAATAAGTCTACTGAGCCTCATTCCTATATTTCTCCTCTATGAGGTATAGAATGAGGACACACACAAAAAATATTTACTGAGTGCCTGGGTAATAATTGTTTGCTAGAAAAACAAAACAAAAACATACAGAAGCAGCAGGAAATTAACAAATGGGAAAGAGAAAAGAAGTATTTTCTATAATTTATTTGAAGCTATGAAAGTTATTGAAGTATGATACTTGACTCACTTTCTCAACAGCTGAAATTAATTTTTATGCCTAAGCAAGATATTATATGGTGTTGAAACATATAAGGTTCACTGATTTTGAATATTCTATTCAAAATATCTCAAAAGAATAAAAGACTCTACTGTCAACTATTTGAACTAGCAGAATGAGTGAAGCGTAAAAGAGAATAAACAAAAAACATGGTTAGACATTGCATGGATATGAAGTGAGTTTCTTCCACAAAATATTTAACTTGTTAATTGATCTTGCCTATGTTATCCACTGATAAACTCTGAGAGAAACTAACTAAAAAAAATGTATATTCTCAATTTAGAACTGTTTCCAATTACACATATCCCATATGAATATACCATACATTTATTTTGATATTCTCATTAGCTGAACAGTAGATAATATAAATATTGATAACTAATAGAGCAGCATTATCTAATTTGGCTGTCATTCATTTGAATGTGAACATGTTGAAAAAAGTCTTAATCCATAATGTCAGCTCCTTCGGTTTATTTCTATTTTCTTCATCTTTTAAAGGATATCTTTCTCTGAGAAAGAATTTTTTGGTATGTGCATTTTGTTTATGCTACACATGGCAAATAGATCTCCCAAGATGAAATTCTAAGCTCATTTGGAAGTAATTTTTGGTAGCACATGAATCAGAACTCTTATTTTCTTCTCAGCACTACTGGTATTTTATTGCTTCCATCTATAGTCCAATATGCTTTTAGCGCTAAGAACCCTGAGGCCAAACACACAAAGCACTACGAAAATGGGAACTTCTGGCAATTACAATTTTTGTCTCTCTTTCAGGGTTCGTCCCTCCCCTAGGAGAATGAAATCACTTTAAACTCACTATGAAACAGGAACATGGTGAGCACAAATGATTGACTGAAGTTGTTGATGTTGACTTAGGAGTCTTCAACTTATAAGTCAGGTATAAAATCCTTAAACATGCTTATCAAAATCTGCTTGTCACACTCCTGTGAATTTTTCCAGACTCTGTCACATTCTTTATGAAGGCTTTTCTGGCCAGCACAAGCAGATTTAGGCAATTACTCCTTTTTTATTAGGATCGTACTTTAACATATTACTATGGCAGAATGTAGTAAATTATATTGCATTTATTTTTGTCTTCCTTCATTCATGGAGGAAAGGCTATTCCCTTTCTTTGATTTCTGAACCAGAATTTTATCAAAATAAAAAATTGGTTCTCAATAATTAATTGAAAGAATAGTCATAAAAAGATCAATAATAATAACCTAAAATGGAATAGCATAGGTTCCAAGGTCTTTTTTACTTAGTGGTGAAAACAAAAGGCAGTAATTAGCACACTATTTTATACATGAAGAAACAAATGCCTAGAGAGGTTACAAGATCTACACAAGTTCAAAACTGCTAATTTGCACACCTAGTTCTCTTGCGAATAAGCTGGTAAGAATTTGCACACAGAAGTGTGAGTGCTAGTGTTATGTAAGACAAAGCAATGGCTGGCCTGAAGAAGAGAAGGTAAGTTAACTTGAGATTGGTTGACACATTGTAGGATAATGCTTACTTGTTTTGAAACCAATTGGAACAGGTCTCAGAAAGTATAGTACACATTAAACTAGACAAAAGAATTTCAGAATATTCTCAATGAGAATAATTTGTGACAAATTCTTTTTCTTCAATCATGCTACATAGGCAGTGAATTCAGTAGAGAGAAAAAGACATAAAACATTCAAGTCTGCCATTTCTGAAATTCTGACTACAACTCAAAAACTATTAAAGTGGAAGGAGTTCTTAGTGATCACTACTCTAAGCCTTTTATTTTCTTTTTTAATTGTTTTTATTGTGAAAACACTGTACAGAGAGGTTACAGTTACATGAGCAAGGTAATGAGTACATTTCTTATCCAGCATTGTTGCCTCCTCCTTTGTTTTTCCCCTACCATCTCTTCCCTCTCACCTCCTCAACTACACGCCCACCCCAACCTAAATTGTAAAGTTTGTTTTTTGACATAGCATTTGTACACATCATTGTTGCAATGGGTCAATCTGTATCCCTATCTAAGCCTTTTTTTTATAGTACCCTAAGCCTTTCTTTTTACAACCAAACAAAACAAACTACAGGAAGAAAATAGCTAGAAAAGGTAAATGACTTACCAAAAGTCACACAGCCAATTAATAGCAGAAGAAAGACACACAATGCAGTCTTCTTAACCACAATATTTTTTTAAAGCTATAATTGAAAAATAATACAAGAGTAGTAACAATGCTTGTAAGCATCTGGTTCATATGACTAGACATAGGTTATAACACAGGAATTGTCCTTAAAAGAAAGCTGTGCCAGGCACTGTTGGTTCACACCTACTATACTCGCTACTCAGGAGGCTAAGATCTAAGGATCATGGTTTGAAGCCTGCCTGGGCAGTAAAGTCTGTGAGACTCTTATCTCCAATAAACTACACCAAAAAAAGCCTGAAGTGGTGCTCTTGATTAAGTGACTGCGCCACTTTCCTTGAGCTACAAAGCTCAAGTAAAATACCAGGCTCTGAGTTCAAGCCGCTGGACAAGCACCTTCTCCCCATTCCCTCTCCTCTCCTCCCACTCCCCGCAAAAAAAGGAAAAGAGAAGAAAGAAAGCTCTGAACTTTAGAAGAATACTGCATCTATGCTGGTGCTTCTGTGTGTATTGAAAAAGAAGGCATGTACAGTGAGAGGCAATGGTTTAAATTTTGATTCATATCAAAGCAAGACATTTTTAATGGAGACTGATAATACTCTGTGTGTGTGTGTGTGTGTGTGTGTGTGTGTGTGTGTGTGTGTACCTCCATTTACCCATAGAAATTGTTGGTGCAGAAATAATTGTTAGATTTTTTTCATTTCAATATGTTTAGAGATATATATTTCTGATTTCCATTTGTTCTTGACATACAGTACTTCCCCATTCTATATGGGGGAGACAATGAACTTGTTTGCTAACAATCATCCTGCTGGGGATGATTGCCAGGTTCTTTCTTTCAATATATAGACACTAACCTATTTGATGTCAACTAACACTAATGCCTTTCTATTTCTTTTTTAATATTTTAACTGTCATGAGCCTTGAACTCAGGGCCTTGGCTCTGTCCCTGAGCCTCTCTAAGTTCAACTCTAGAGTTCTACCCCTTGGGCCACAGTACCACTTCTGTTTTTTTCTGGTTATGTGGTACTGAGGAATTGAACCCAGGGCTTAATGCATGCTAGGCAAGCACTCTACCACTAAGCCACATTATCAGCCCAAGCCTTTCTATTTCTATCATAATTATAGTGTGTCCTTCCTTCTACTCCTTCATTATATTAGGAGCTGTATTAATATTGCATATATATAAGACAGCTTTTGTTATGATTTCTTCTAAGAACCTAATGAGCACATTAACTGCCCCACCCCAACTAATTCCAATATTTATTATTACAGAGCTATAGACTAAAACTAGGGACCACATTCTGATAGTAAATTAGGTATTCACTAGTTCAATATAAAATCAATTTCTTTTTTTTTCAATTTCTTATTTAGGTTGCAAAAGGAAATTGTTCATCAATCACCATATATAATTTGTTAAGTAAAATGCGATTTTAGATCTTAATTTTAAGCTGGGGGAAATTATAACATTATGCTATATAAGGCAGGTTCATTAAAGTACAGATTAATTCATTTTCTATAATAATTTTCATAGAATCCACTTTGGAAAGCAGTATGGAGGTTCCTCAAAAGACTCCACATAGAGCTTCGCTATGACCCAGCAATCCCACTTTTGGGCATTTACCCAAATGTTTACAAACAAGACCACACTAAAGCTACCAGCACAACTGTTTATTGCAGCATTATTTACTATAGCTAAGATATGGAACCAACCCAGATGCCCCTCAGTAGATGAATAGATCAAGAAAATGTGGTATATATACACAATGGAATTCTATGCCTCCTTCGTTAGGAAATGGAAAGGCTTGGAAAAAATTATATTAAGTGAAGTAAGCCAAGCCCAAAGAAACATAGGTCCCATGGTTTCCCTTATTTGCAAAATATAGTATATGTCAAGCAGAAAAGGTCAGATAAGGTGATGTTAGGGAAATGAACCCTAAGATATGTATTCCAATATTTTTTCTTTCATGCGATTGTTTCTAACACATCTATAAGATTATTTCTTTGTTGCTTTGTATGTCCCTCCCCCATAGTATAACCCCTGCTTTCACTGTATTTTATGTCGGTATAATTTGTGGAGGGGAAGGGAAAAAACAAATCGATTAAATAGGGATACAGGTGAATCCATTGCAACAATGAGATGTACAAGTCATTATGTGGAAAAACTAACTTTACAACTTTGGTGGGGGGGGATGTGGAGCGGGGAGGATTGGGTGGGGGGTGGAGGGGAAGATGGGAAGGGGAAACACGGGAGGAGGCTATAATGCTTGATAAGAAATGTACTCATTATCTTGCCTATGTAATTGTAACCCCTCTGTACAATATTTTCACAATAAAAAAGTAAAAACAAGAAAGGAAAAAAATTTCATAGAATATTTCCTAATATACATAAAGTTGAAGAGAATTCATTTAGGCTCCCATTATACATTAATCCAGGTAATAATTTTTATCCAGGTATAAAACATCTGTCACAAGTATGAAATATCCATGAATTTCTGATAAAGTATTGTAACATAAAATCAATATAGTCTACAGGCACATATAGGCACATTTTCAAGAAGCCTAGAAACAAGAACAATAGGCTTTTCAATGCTTCAAGATACATTACTCACCAAAAACAGAGTTCGGAAGTTGTTGAGATCGCCAAAAAAGTCTTCTATGCTCACAGTCTTAGAATCAAAAATGAAGTATTCTCCAAGGTTTTCATAGAGCTTTATCATGTTATTGTGCATGGTGGATAGCTTTTCAAATTGTTCTCTGGCAGTTTTGATAAAGTTGTAACTTTGTGTTAAGGAACCTAATCCAAAAGTATTTTGGGGACAATCATTAGATATTAACACTGAATCAAACCATGACTTTTATAAACATTTGTAGAGCACCTATACTTTTTTAATTAGTTTGTTAGGACTGCCATTATGAAAAACCAAGACTGGGTAGTTTAAACACATACATTTATTTTCTCATATATCTAAAGGCTAGAAATCTGAAATGAAGGTATGTGCAGGTGTGATTTCTTATAAAACAGCTCTTTCTTGGTTGTAGATGGCTATTTTCTTACTGTATTCTCATATGGTTTTCCATCTGACTGTGGTATTTATGTGATAATGTTTTCTTCATATAAGGACACAATTCATAATGGCTTAGGGTACATACAAGTAACCTTTTATATTAATTACATCTGTAAAGGCCCTATCTCCAAATACAGTCACATTCTGAGGAATGTAGAATATTGGGTGGTTAGGACTTTTAAAACATATGAATTGGAAGGACCAAGCACACAATTTAGTATAAGTTGTTAGAGTTGATGAGTTTTTAATTCGTTAAAATTTGTTGAAGTTGATGTTTCATTGTTTAGTGACTTTGGATACCTCTAATTTAGGCAGAAGTAAGGCAAACAACATGGGAAATATCTCGATTATCTCATATCTTTTATGAATGAAGGTAAAAGCAAGCAACAACTTCAGATAAAAACTTTAGACAAAACTATACAAGTAGTTTTCTTTTTTAAACATAACAATAGAGAATCAGACAGGCAGATACAGACAGACAGGCAGACAGACAGATAGATATACACATTATAATGGGGAAAAGAAGCTAAAAATGCTACATGTAAGTTACATCCATGTATACGTTACATCCACATAGAGAAATACATGTACTCACACACACACACACACACACACACACAAACACACACACACAGACACACATATGATAAGTTGAAATAGAGGGCAAAGTGGGAGAAGAGAATGACAAAGTTCGGGACACATTACCCCAAAATTTGGTACATGAGCATTTAAGCAAATAGCATAAACAGATTTCTCTTTCCTAAATTTACCCTTCTTGAGTGAAGCAGCCAGACAAGAATGATCTGATCTGCCTCCAGAGAAGGACATAAAATCCTCAATCCAGAGTTCCACAACCTCCATCTGAACAAAACGAATTCTCTTATCTTGGGACATAAACACAGTGAAGAATCTGATTAGGTCTTGCTAGATTCCTCTCAATGTATGCCCACTTTATCCAATCTTATTTCCTCCTAACTGTCTGCTATTTATAAAAATCTAAATATAATACATAGATGTTTTCTTTAGGTTTTCATCTCTGAAGTTTCCCATATATCATGAAACTTTTATTAATTAGCTAGGAATGTGGGGACATACTTGTAATTCCAGTACTCAAATGGCTGAGGTAAGAGGTCTAGGAAAATCTGGGTTACATGAGACCCTATCTCAAAACAAACAAACAAAAACCTCAAACTAAAAATCAAATTAAATAAAATCAACAGAAAAAATTACTTTAAGTAGATTTGTGTAAGATTTGTGTACATTCCTTTTGCTAACTTCTCTTTTTGTTTCAGCCAAGATCCCAAAGATGGATAACGCACAGCTCACAAAGAAGAGGAAAAGCCTTCCAGAGACACAAGAGGAGGTGGGGATGGAGCAAAAAAGAAAAATAGTTGTTTTCAACCTTTTTGCTGGTTCTGAGGCTTGAACTGAGGACCTGTGAAGTCCCTGAGATTTTTTTTGCTCAAGATTAATGCTCTACCACTTGAGATACAACTCCACCTCCGGTTTTTTGGTGGTTAATTGAAGATAAATGTCCTGGACTTCCCTGCCTGGACTGGCTTCAAACCGCAATTGTTGTATCTCAGCTTTTTGAGCAGTCTTGAACTACTGAGGCTCAGAAAATTAGTTGTTGTTTAGAAAGAATTTTGTATTGCTTTGGAACCCTAATCATTGAAAGTCTTGTTTAAACTAGAATGCTTGTGGAGTCCCAGATGAAATGTTTGAGACGGATCATTTCTAAGAGGTTCCGAGATTATGCTAATGCTACTTGTCTAGAATCACACTTTAATAATATGTTCTACAAAATTACGATCCCCAGAAAGTAATTATAAGTTTATTTTTTTAACAAATTAGTAATAACACCACCTATAACTACAACACTATCAAATATAAAAATGGCTCTTACTAATAGTATATTACTATGCGTCCATGTATATATATATATATATAGGAAGAAATGATTATATTTACAGGAAGAAATTTTTCCTAGCTTTAGAAAATATATTGAAAATGACCTTTTATGTGACTTAAAAGTATAAAAACAAGTACATTGGTAATAATTTCAAACAGATATTATGACACATGCTTATAGGAATGTTCTAGATAAAGTTAAGTGGACTAATCCTAAATAAAGAAAAACATATCAATATTCTGAAATTAGATTCATTAAAAATCTCTAGTGATTTCAGAAGTAAAGATCCTTAGAAGGAAAATAAATAGACTTATAATTATGAAAGCATAGGATACACTACAGTGAGTTAATATTTTGTGGCAGAATTACTTTTTTTTACCAGGAACTGATAATTGTGGCTTGAAATCCTGTATTTTATGGGGTTTTATGAATTCTTCCAATGTGTTTTATTATAACCTGGGGCCAAATTTATTTTCTGTGGGAACACAGTTCTCATTTTACAGTGAAAGTCAATGGGGAAATCAGACCACTTCTGGAAAATTACTTTGGAGCTGACACTTATGGAATATGCCAGGACTTTAAAAAATGAGATGCTCCCTACCTATGGTTGTTTTTGTGCTACTCAACTATTAGTATTCACATTAAGCAACACAAGCCCCTTCCTACTAACAAGTGACATTAAATCTTTCAACTTGCAAGTCTATTTTGATATTAATGAACCTGAAAGAATCGATATACTTCTAATGGATACTGTTTTTATAGTCACAAAAGGATGCATAATATTTCATGTATATTCTAATTTTATTTTCTGAGTGTATCACATATAGTTTTGATAATTAAGAACATGTTAATACCAAACCAAACCAAAACAAAACAACAACAAAAAACTAAAACCAATTCCAGGAACTTGCTAGGCAGAAACACTTTGAAAGGTCATTACTTGTAACCTATTTGCAATGCAAACTATGAAATCATTTGTTATGTATCAGAAAGCTCAAAATTGGTAAAATGGTAAAAAAATAAAGCCAAAGATAACAAAGAAGCCATTATGTTTACATTCCTCATTTATTCCAATGCAGTATTCATGGGCTAAAACATGCCCATGTCGTGAAACAGTTTTCTAAATTTGCACTTGTAGTAGAAAAACTGATTTCAGAAATTGAGCACCAAAGTGAGAAAATGTGAAAAATTCTAGCAATGGTTTATCTTTCAGATAACAAGTGGAAAGCAGCCCACACTCTTTAGTCCTTGTCTTCTCTGCAAAGCCATTATTTATATAACATATAAATGGAATTAGGGGTCTATGTTTATGACATAATGTAGCTAACCATTTAACTGTACTGTACTTATGAAAAAGGTGACAAACACCTTTTAAACTAGCCTGCTGTTACACTTCCATGGGATTAAGATGGAATGTAACCAAGAATTTTAAAAATGTGTTGTACACTATTGGGATGGCTTTAACTAGACCAGGCAATGTGCTGTTAGCTGTGTTTTGAGAGCAGTCAGGGAGAAGCCCACAGCCATGTTTACAATGGAAAGGGAAAGCTGGTTATGGGCATATTGCTCTCTCAGGAGAAGTTCTCCTGACACAGTGCTCAGAGGAACTACAAAAAAGAATTGTTAAAAAAATTTTTTAAAAATTAAAAAAAAATTGTTAGCAAGGTAGTGAAAAGGACATGTGTTTCAAGTGCCCAGAATTCCTGGCCTTTGCACTACAGCTCTAACAGTAGAGCACTTTGGTGAAGATGACTAGACTATTGGTGGATCAAAATGTAGGATGGCTTCTTCCATCTCTTAAGCAACCTTGAAGAGCCAGGAAGTATTTGTAAGTGGGGAATCCTGAGAAAATTATAAACTAAGATTGAAAAAAAAAGTATAGCCATATCAACAAAGAGAATCGAATCAAAATCAGAGGAGAAAATGTAATTCAGAATATTTTTTTCTTACGAATCCCATTTTCAAAGTCCTTGTTCTATAAAGATAAGTGTTTCTGATGTTGTTTTAGCATAGGAGTCTATGAAATACATACACATCACCTCTCTAAAAGAAGTGTCCATTTAAGAGTTATAAAAAAGTATGTGTAGCATTTTAAAATATTTTCAGGCAAAAAAGTCAACTATTCAAAAGCATTATTAACTTGAGGCCAATTGAGTGTTAATCATGATTCTGGGAAGTTACATTTATAAAACACATATCAAGTCCAGAAAGTATTTTCTTTTATTATTTTAAATAAGTTTTTTTATTGTGAAAATACCGTACAAAAAGGTTACAATTACATGAGCAAGGCAATGAGTACACTTCTTATCAAGAATTGTTGCCTCCTCCTTTGTTTTTCCCCTACCATCCCTGCCCTCTCATCTCCAAGACTACATTCCCCTCTCCCCCTCCCCGACCAAAGTTGTAAAGTTCGTTTTTAGACATAACGTCTTGTACATCTCATTGCTGCAATGGGTCCACCTATATCCCTATTTAAACAATTTGTTTTTTCCCTTCCCCTCCCCAAATTATACTAACATCAAATACAGTGAAAACAGAGTTATGCCGCAGGGGAGGGACATACAAAGCAACAAAAATTCATGTGGTCCCTTATAAATACGTTAGAAACAATAGCAAGCAAGAAAAAAACCACTTGTGTCCTTATCTTGGGGTTCATTTCGCCTAACATCTTATCTGACCTTTTCTGCTTGTCTCACAGATATACTAGTTATTGAAAATAAGGGAAACCATGGGACCTATGTTTCTTTGGGCCTGGCTTACTTCACTTAACATAATTTTTTCCAAGTCTTTCCATTTC